TTATGCTGTTGTGATGGTGCGCGCGGAAAAAACTCCCCCCACTCGGGGTCTAGTATCTTGCAACATCGAACGAGGCAGCGAGGACTNCAACAACGATTCGCATCAACAACATCGCATCAACAACATTTCGGGTGTGTGTACCAAAACAAAAGCAACACATATTCACGGGGGGCGCACGACCCAGCCTACTGCAGGTACTTTCCGCAGCACGGGTTATGCTGTTGTGATGGTGCGCGCGGAAAAAACTCCCCCCACTCGGGGTCTAGTATCTTGCAACATCGAACGAGGCAGCGAGGACTTATAGCTTCGTCCACTAAGTATTAATGTTGAAGGATTGGTTCATGCGACAGTTCACGGTGTGCAGTAGCACGAGTGCTGAGACAAGAAAGTAACGATTCAACTTGCAAGTAATTTTTCTACATCTCTGTGTATGCGACAGGGGGGAGCCACACGGGTCGCGGGACAGCCTGCCCACACCCACGCTAGAACAGGGCCCAGCACTACTGTAATTCGATCCATTTCGTACTCTGTTAGCACCGCGACGCATGAGCGCTACACCATGAAATCAAGCATCTCCTCAATAGTGCCGGACCTGCACTATTGAGGTGTAATATACCCAAAGCCTCAATAGCGCCGAACCTGCACTCTGTTGCACAATTCTGAATAGGGCAGGTGCCCGGTGTAAGTGCAGGTAAAATTTCTTGACACACCCCTGCACTATAGAGGGCCCAGTACTGTACTGACAAATCGCGGCAGTCAGGAATTTCAGGAGGGCGACAACCAACCCCAATCGCCGCACCGAGCTGTCGAGTCCATGCTGCATGAAGGCTTGGTGTGTTGCTGTTTTCTTCGCCAGAAATGAATGAGAAAATAATGATAGGGGCAGCAGGATGCGGCACCCAAAAGGATTTGGACCTGATTCGAAGGGTATCCGTCGATTGACTGTTACCTGAATAAAGCGCTCAGACAGGGCATTTGAAGTTCGATTATGATGCGACCATACAGTTGATGGCGTCCTAGTGACGGCCTACCATGTCCCTCACTCTGTCAGTACTTACGGCTGGCCGACAAGGATCACTCACATGTGGTTGTCATTGCTGGTTGTTGTACAGACAGCAGGCGTCCAGAATGGGGCTCCGCGGAATGGGCATGTGGCCGAAAGAACCGAATTTCTCGCACACATACAACCATAAAGCCACGCTCCTTCGTGCGTGACTGGCATACACAAAACACGCGTTTGTTCGAGAGAGCGGCGAAGCTCGACCCGCAAGCAAGGCGCGGAGGACGGTGAGGGTGAAACTTGGGGGGATTACGCAGCAGGGGTGTTGCCGGATTTCTTCCCTCCTGTGACGATCTCGTGAAGATAGATACCCCGACATACCCACGAAAAGACAGCGGAGAATTTTTTTGAAGCACCAGCGAAAAAGAGAGGAACACCGTGGGCCGTGCGCCCTGCTGTGGGTAGCTCCTTCCATTGGGTTTTGGGTAGATTCTCCGGCTGTGTGCGCTCGCTCACGGCGTTTTGTTTGGCCTTCGGGATTATCCCACGGAAAGGGTTGCTAGGAGCTTGTGTGGTCTCCGCGCGGGTGACAGGGGGGGAGAGTGAGAGGGCGAAAAGGGTTTTTTAGGGCCCCAGCATTTTTTGCCCAACCCGTGGTGAGACGGGGGCTACAGCTGTAGTATTCCGAAAGCCAGCCCAGCTCCTTGCTTCCCTCTCTTCTGCAGGTGCATACTACAGCAGCAAACGCCATCATTCCGTGGAGGTGGCGTCATCAGGAGGAGCGACGCTTGCTTTAGGAGGTTCGCGCATGACTGCCGCGCGGGGCTTGTACCTGTAGGGGGTCTCTCATCTACAGCAGCCTTTCTCAGCAGACGACGGTCCGTCTCTTGCTGGAGCACGGAGGAGAAGGAAAGGGTCTACTCGTACATCGTAGCCGTGCGACTGCCTTTGTCATCTATCATCATAGTCACCGGACCAATTCCTGATTCAGGGACAACAAAACAACGCTAGCAGTAGAGGGAGAGCACAAGTAACACCCGATGGCCTCGACGTTGGAGGCTGAGAACTTGCATCACGTGGTCATGGCCGGTGACCACATCTCATCGGGATCTCATACAGAGCTCGACCGCAGCAGCAGCGGCGGCCGGGCGACCAGGAGCAGTCGGGAGCTTGAAGATCGCGGCACCGCAGTGGCCATACCACCGCAGCAACACGCCGGTGGAAGTGCCGGCGGGGGGGCCGTCTCGGCAACAAGGGCGGCCGCTGAGAGCGTTGTTGCTGGCAGAGGCGGCCCAACAACCGCAGTTGTAGCAGAATCCGGCGACGGCGGCATGCAGCAGCAGCAACGACCACAGCGAAGAGCGTCTGCTGGGTCTTCAAGCAGCAGCAGGAATCCACGAAGGTTGTCTTCGAGCGGCGGCGGCGGCGGTGGCGACAGCAACGACGGCCCTGCCTCCTACGAAGGCTGGAGCGCCGCCGCGGGCCTAGCCAACGGCGTTGGGAGCGGTAGCATGAGGCCGAGCTCTGCGCCTAGGACGATGGCGCACGACACCACCGGTAACCCGAGAGATAGTAACGGCATCTCCAGGCGGCGGTCCCGAGGCAAGAGCACGAGCGGCAGTGGTGGGGACGGCAGCAGCAGCGGCGGCGGCGGCGGTGGCGGTGGAGGGCGCTCCATGTCTCCCACCACAACTCCTGCTACTACTACTCAGAAGAGCATTACGCGCACGAGCTCCAACCACAGGCTTCGCCTCACCACCGAAGGAGAGAGCAGCGGCGGCGGCGGCGGCCTGGACGCTTCATCGCCATCGCCGGCAGGAAAAGTCACCGAGTTGGAGGACGTGGTGGCGGGACACCAGGCGGCCGGCGAGCTGGCGGCACTGGAGAGAGCGGTGGTGGCGGCCTCCAAGATCACCCCGCCTCCGGCCGACGGCGGCGGCGGCGGCGGCGGCGGCGGCGGCGGCGGTGACTTCACCGCCCGCATGATGGGGACCGGGCCAGCCTCCCGGTCGAGGCGGAACAGCGGCGGCAACAGCATCGGGGGCAGCTGGGAGCAGCAGGAAGTAGCGGAGACCGGACAGGCGGGACCCCCCGGCGGTATCCCCCCGGCACCGCCCAAGACCCCGTCCGCGTCCTCGTCCGCCGGGTCGGGCGTGTCGGTGTCCTCCACCGGCGCGACCCAGGCGGTCGAAGTTCTGTCCCACGGGAGCCCGACCGCGGCGATGACCTCGCCCGAGCGGCGGCGGCGCACCAGAGACTTCGCGCCGGCCATGCACGCCAGCCCGATCAGCAGGGCGGCCGCGGCCGCTGCCCGCGGGGGGAGCGGCAGCAACGGCGGCGGCGGCGGCGGCAGCGGAATCGTTTCGGACCAGCCTCGCTCGTCCCGCGCGATGCCCGCCGCGGTGATCTCCACCACGTCGGCAGGGGGCAGCAGCAGGAGGGGTCGGAGGGAGCTGCAGCCGCCGCATTCGATCAACATGACGGAGGGGGACGAGGGACCTCCGTCCCGGCCGAGAAAAAACAGCGGCGGCGGCGGCGGGCCGCAGTTCAGAGGGGACGGGGGAGGAGGCAGGCCTAGCGGCGAGCGTAGAGAGCGCGGGAGCCGCGGGGCTGGCGGCGGCCGCCCCCGGCGGAGCGGGCGGGGGGGCAAGAATGGCCTGCCGAGGGGCCGGGCGGTGGGCAGGAACGGCAGGCGTGGGCGGCGGTCGGTGAGCATGCCACAGAGCGGCCACCGCGGCCCCGGGGCGTTCGGCCTTGCCCCCGTGGTGGAGGGCGATGCCGAGGAGGAGGAGGAAGAGGAGGAAGAGGGAGACGAGACTGAGGTAAGGGTCAAAAGAGAAGAACGTGTTTTTTTATTTTCGTTGCGCCCTCGTCCCCGTTGTTTTTGCCGTGTTTTTGCGTCTGACGTGCCGCTGCAACGCCGTTGGCGGCACGACATCGTTCCACCCGCGCTGGGTGCTCGATGTGGCGAAACAATCGTGATTTAGCAGCCAATCGGCCGGCGTTTGGTGTTGAGAGGGACGGTGTTGACTGCTAG